AGCCTTGGTACGGGTGATTGCCACGAACACCATCCGCACTAGTAGGCCCTTGGTGCGGGTGGTTGCCTCGACCACCATCGACACAAGATGGCCCCTGGTGCGGGTGGTTGCATCGAACACCATTGGCTCATGCGGTTGCCTCGACCACCATTGACAGAAGATGGCCCCTGGTGTAGGCGGTTGCCTCGAACACCATCGACACGTGTCAAGCCTTGGTGTGGGCGATTGCCTCGAGCACCATCGGCACTAGTCGGCCCTTGGTGTGGTCAGTTGCCTCGACCACCTTCGACACAAGATGGCACCTGGTGTGGACGGTTGCATCGAACACCATCGGTACATGCTGGGCCTTGGTGTGGGCAGTTGCCTCGACCACCATCGGCACATGCTGGGCCTTGGTGCGGGCGGTTGCCTCGAACACCATCGGCATATGCTGGGCCTTGGTAGGGGCGGTTGCCTTGACCACCATTGGCAGAAGATGGCCCCGGGTGCGGGCGGTTGCCTCGAGCACCATTGGCACAAGCTGGCCCTTGGTGCGGGCTCTTACCTCGACTACCATCGATAGAAAATGGCCCCTGGTACGGGAGGTTACCTCGACCACCATCTGTACAAGCCAACCCTTAGTGCAGATGGTTGCCTCGACCACCATCGGCACAAGATGGCCCCTGGTGCAGGCGGTTGCATTGAACACCATTGGTACATGCTGGGCCTTGATGCGGGCAGTTGCCTCGAACACCATCGACACGTGCCGGGCCTTGGTGCGGGCGATTACCTCGAGCAGCATCGACACAAGCCAACCTTTGGTGTGGGCTCTTGCCTCGACCACCATCGGTAGAAAATGGCCCCTGGTGCGGATGGTTGCCTCCACCACCATCGGCACAAGCCGAACCTTGGTCCGGGCGATTGCCTCGACCACCATCGACACATGCTCGGCCTCGGTGTGTGCGGTAGCCTCGAACACCATCGACACGTGCTAGGCCTTCGTGCAGACGGTTGCCTCGAGCACCATCGACACAAGTCGACCCTTGGTGTGGGCTTTTGCCTTGACCACCATCGGTAGAAGATGGCCCCTGGTGTGGGGGGTTGCCTCGAACACCGTTGGCACATGCTGGCCCTTGGTGCGAGCAGTTTCCTCGAACACCATCGACACATGTTGGGCTTTTGTGCCGGCGGTTGCCTCGACCACCATCGGCAGAAGATGGCCCTTGGTACGGGTGGTTGCCTCGAGCACCATCGGTACAAGCTGGCCCTTGGTACGGGCTCTTACCTCGACCACCATCGGTAGAAGATGGCGTCTGGTGTGGGCAGTTACCTCGAACACTATCGGCACATGTCGGGCCTTGGTGTGGGCACATGCCTCGATCTGGTGTGAGCGGTTTCCTTGACCATCATCGGCACACACTGGCCCTTGGTGTGGGCAATCGCATCGACCACCATTGGCACGCGCTGGCCCTTGGTGCGAGATATGCCTGTTTGGAAAAAGCGTCCCTATTTCAGACACTTTAACGTCTACTGGTAGCATATCTATAAAATCTCTAATGCTCTTTAGGGGGTGGTGGTCCGACACCCCCTCTCCCCCCCCCACAGGGGGAGTAGGTGTGCGTGATGGGCCTCCCATTGTGTATACCCAGGGCAACATTCCTCGAGCGAAATACAGGGCGTGCATGCGAAAAAGAGAAGTTGAGCTCGAGCTCGTGCACGCGGTGGATGCTGCCCTAGACCCCAAACCAAGTCCTTGAATCGGGCAACGGCTCCCTGGGGTGGTGTGAGTAGAAGCCACGCTTACGAGCTTGGCCCGGTCAGGTCTCTCGGTATTTGAAGGTCTCACGGTCCCTTCTCGTAGACCACAAAAACACCTAGGCCTCGACAAGGCCGTGCACGCAGCCGACGCTGCCCGAGACCCCAGGAACAAGTCCCTGAATTGGGTAACATCACCCTGGGGTGGTGTCAGCAGAGCTCACTTGTGCAGTCCCGGTCGAGCCAAGCATTGGTGGTGTCGCTTTGTTGTTGCCTGTCGGATGGCAGGGGCAGTCTTGTGGCCCTTGCTCGTGTTTTTCTCATGCCAAGCAGTTGTGGCGTGGCCTTGCACATCGTTTCCTCCGCTCGCTCGTCGAGTAATCGATCGGGTGGATTGTGGACCAGCGTGCATGGATGCTGCCACTTGTACGCAATGGGCATATGAGTGGTGCTGTGGTTGTGCGTGTTGGCAGGCTCCGTGCTCGATGCATCGAATGTCGACCCGTCATCCTCTTCAATCTCCTTCCATGCGGTCGTCGTACCCAAGAGGCGTGATTGGAAAACCGGATGTCTCACCATCTCTAATTCGTCTCGTGTCTCGAGGAGCCACGGGTCGGACGTCAATTGTGGCTGGTGTCCGAAGCGCGCCACCCAATCCTCCGTGGCCACATTGGTGCACCGACGTTCGATCGTTCGATGCTACGCATTTCACGTGTTCGACACGCACGATGCTTGTGCTTCACGTCAGGCTCTCTCTGTCACTCGATCAGTGCATCGAGGCCCACGCGGTGCCAACATCCTGAATGAATGCTACCTGGTTGATCCTGCCAGTAGTCATATGCTTGTCTCAAAATTTGAGCCATGCATGTCTAAGTATGAACTAATTTAGACTGTGAAACTGCGAATGGCTCATTAAATCAGTTATAGTTTGTTTAATGGTATCTACTACTAGGATAACCGTAGTAATTCTAGAGCTAATACCTGCAACAAACCCCAACTTCTGGAAGGGATGCATTTATTAGATAAAAGGTCTATGCGGGCTATGCCCATTGCTCTGATGATTCATGATAACTCGATGGATCGCACGACCTTTGTGCTGACGACGCATCATTCAAATTTCTGCCCTTTCAACTTTTGATGGTAGGATAGTGGCCTACTATGGTGGTGATGGGTGACAGAGAATTAGGGTTTGATTCCGGAGAGGGAGCCTGAGAAACGGCTACCACATCCAAGGAAGGTAGCAGGCATGCAAATTACCCAATCCTGACACGGGGAGGTAGTGACAATAAATAACAATACCGAGCTCTATGAGTCTAGTAATTGGAATGAATACAATCTAAATCCCTTAACGAGGATCCATTGGAGGGC